TAAAAATGTAAGGAGTAGAAAGTACAGAGATTTGTGTAAAAATGTAAGGAGTAGAAGTAAAAAGTCGCCATAAAAATAAGTAGTAAAGTAAAGTAAAAATATCAGAAAAATCTACCTGAGTACAGTAACGAAGTATTTGTACTTCGTTACTTCCCATCTCTGGTTTACATATATATATATATATATATATATATATATATATATATATATATATATGCATTGACACAGAAACCATAACAGATTGGTCCATTGGAGTCTTTGAGTCTTGGAGTTTTTACGTTTATAGTTGTACTGAGAGGGCCTGTATCATGCAAAATCAGTTTCAGTTTGCAGATGATAATAACCAAGATACTTCTGTATAATATACTACATTTACTACATTAATTATAACACAGCGTAGCTTGAAATTGAAGCTAGGGTCTTAGAAGCTTCCAAGTTGATGGATACATGAGTAGGTAGTGCTAGTAGATGGCCACAGTGATCAGTCTGCTCATTGCCTAGTGCAAAATTTCTTTTCAGGTTCCAAAAGTACTAAGTAAACACTATCAGGATGAACGCTTGATGTATATTGGTTTATTTAAACTTCATCATATAGTTAGCTTTTTTATATATATATATAGAAATAAGTTACTGAGCCCCTTTAACTTGTTGGTATGTTCCACCCAGGTCAAGGATCAGTTTTGAATATGCTTAAAAAGGCGTCTCTGTTGCAAGCTAAAAATTAGGGTGATGACAAAGAGCCCTTCCATCTTTGCTTGGAACCAGAGTCCTGCACAGGTCTGATTTTTCAAAACTGTATCCGTCCGACCCGTTACCCACAATTATCTAGGACCGCTCAGACCCGTAAATAACGCAAAGTGTACAAAAAGTCGTTTCTAATAACAGAGGCAGTAAAAAACATTGCCTCACGCTCACATCCAGTACATGCTATGCTAACAGATTAACGGCTGTAAATTAGCCAATGTAAGAAAGTTTGCTCTGTGGCTTAAAAACTACTGTTATCTGGAGATTCTTGATTCAATTTAATGTTTAAGGTGTAGAGTTAATAAATAAGAAAATATAAATAAATTTCATACATGCTGTAACTCTATGATACCCACATTTTTTCATATATACTCATACTCATGAAATATGTTTTTTTTACCCGTAGATGTACATCTTATACGGGTCCCTGACCCAATGCCTCTAACCACAGGTAATAAACTATGAAAATACCAATGGAAGGATGAAAGAAGCTGGAATCTGAACAACTCAAAGGTTTTACTGTATATTCCCTTTATGTCACAATCATACACTGCTGTGTGTAGGTCTATCACATAAAATACAACAGAATAAGGGTTTGTAAGTTCCCTAAAATTTCAAGGGGTGTAAATGCTTTTGTGAGGCACTGTAGTTTTATGCATTGAGGAATCTGCAGAAACTGGACCAAATAACCAAAATACTTTTGTGGGGGTGTTTGAAGGATGGGTAATATTTTACCTCCGATGTGTCTAAGAGCTGATCATCAGATGGATTGACAGAGGTAGTTGGATGAAGTTGCCCAGGGACACTATGCAATCTGCTGCCAAGGCCACATTTTTGCTGTATCTTTGCGTCTCCCTGGTTTCTAAGTTTACATCGTGCTACAGTCGAAAACAGAAAAAAAGTAGACATTTTATTTTATTTAAAAAGTGGTCTCTGCAAATTATAGTGATGTGTGCAATTATATATTTTAGATTAACATATGTTTTCTCAGAGTGTGGCAGTGAGCAACGATGCACATGGAAAGTAGCACTTAGAGGAGAGCTCGTTCTTAAGTGTCGCTCTTTTTCATTTATGCAAAACAGCAGTTTCTTGGGTCCTTTAAGGTGAAAAAAGGAGATGTCAGTGTTTTTTTGTTTTTATTTAAGGGCCATGTGATCATACTTGTTGTTTTCTTTTACTTTATGTGAAACAATATGCAATCCATCAGTGCCCAGCCCTGTAACACTACTGTTAGAATATATTAGGCTAAAGAGAGAACCTTAGTGATGAGGTCTTGTTTGTTGTTGTTATTGTTGTGTGTTAAAATGTGGTGTCAGGACACTAGCTTACAGACTTGTCTTAGACTGTCACCTTGTGGACAACGTGGCATAACACCGGACGTTTTATGGTGCACAGCTTCAATCCGTGGGTCTTTTCTGTGTTTAGTTTTCATGACTAGACAGATATGTTTACAATGATTTCAGATAGACATCTCATTTTATCTCTCAAGATTCTGTAAACAATAAACAGCAGTGTTTTGCATGTGACCAAATTGCACTTTATGTTATCTTATTTGAACCCAGGACTTTACCTTCAACGTACAGAAAAAATAGCCATTATTTTGTCCGACTGTCATTAAGACAGACTTAAGTTTTTCCTTTTTAAGGTCAGTGTAGATTACCAAAATGATTTCTATTTCCTTTATGTCGGAGTTATGAGAGAATCTTTGTTTTAGATTTATTTCTTTAATCTATCTTTCTAAAAAAAAAAAAAAATTGGGAAAATTCCTCTTGACAGAACTGCTATGGCTAAGTCAGTTTGTTTTTTTTTTATTTCAAGCTTTATTTTACCTCAAAATACTTTGTAGGGATCAAAAATCTCTTCTTCCAGAAGCATGCTGGTTTTATTTGGCTTCTCTGCTCAAACACACCCTCTTAGCTCTGGCTTCAGTAACAATGGGACTGATATCAGGTGTTTGTGTTGCTCCTCCATCACTTTGACCTTGTTGTCCTTTAAGAAGTTAGAAAATAATTGCTCCATATGCTTAAGCATACATATGCTTAGGGTCATGGTGTATTCTGAAGACGTTGAAGATGTTGCTTCAGTATTTTTACAAAATATTCTTCCGTCTTGATGTTATCTATTTTGTAAAAAGGCTCCAGTCCCCCTGTATGGGGTGCCGTTTGTAAAGTTAAACAGTCAAAAATTAGGAGTAATACTTATGGTTATTTGTTTTAAGAGAAAAAAAATAAGGGAGAATTATTTTTCTTCCAAGTCATGTTTTCACTATTTCATTCATTTATTTATAAAAATCTTACTTTGATAAATAAATATTTACTTTTAAGCTAAATATTTAGTTGGCAAATTACATATTTAGTTCGGTTTTCTGCAAGGGAATTTGCATATTTGCTGAATATTTAGCTATCGCAAAGCTAGGCAAATATTTAGCTCGCTTGGTGCAAGCTAAATATTTTGTTTGTTAAATAAATATTTTATTTGGAGCTAAATATTTGTTTAAAAAACTAAATATTTAATGTGCAAATTAAATATTTAGCTCCAAACTAAATGTTTATTTAACAAAGTAAGGTTTTTATAAATGAATGAATGACGTAATGAAAAAATAACTTGGGGGAAAAAATAACCCCCTTATTTTTCTCCTGAAACACCTTCTAAATAACCATAAATATTGCTCCTAATTTTTGACTGCTTAACTTTACAAACAGTGTCCCATACCCCTGCAGCAAAGCACCCACACCATGATGCTCCTACCCCCATATTGCTCAGATTAGGTGGTGGATGGGGTCATTAAGTCCAAAAAGTACTTTGAATCACAAAACTTCTCCCAAAATGTATGGAATCCATAATCCATCAAAAGATCCCTGTCTCCAGGACATCGCCTAAGGAGAGCCACATTTATAGATGCAGGAGTTTGTCCCCTTTCAGCTTCTCTGATCAAAACTGGTGACATTACATGGCATATCCCATCAGGTGCACTGCCTCCATGTATTTATATACTTTTAATCTAAGGAGTTTGCTAATAAAAAGCCAATGAACCAGACTTGTGGAGGTCAACATTACTCTGCTGTATCACTCAGGCTCTATCGGTGCTGTCTCATTACAAAGATATGTCCTTGCCTTACAATTCATCTGTATATTTGCTTATATTCTATTTAAATTTTCAAAGTTAACCCTATTAGAAATGTATAAAGACCATGGCATCGCTATCTGGTCTTTTTACACTGGAAAAAATTTTAATCTCAACAAGTAATTTTTTTTTAAACTAAGTGTGTTTTTCTCTTGAATTCAGGAGGTAAGTGTGAAACTTTGCCAATAGAACAACATAATTTACATTTAAAATAAGAAAAAACAATTTAGTTGTCTTATTTCAAGTGCATATTATCTAATTTTCTTATTTTAAGAGAAGAAAAATTCATTCCATTGGCAAATCCTCTTTTTTACCTGCTGAAATTAAGGGTAAATACACTGAATTTAGGAAATGTTGACTTATTTCTAGATCATTTTTGCAGTTTATCTAATTTTTC